TAAAATTTAAGAGAACCGTATATAACACCTACCAAAAATATGAGTGCAAACAAAGGTGATGAAATCTGAGTAAGGCCTGTAATCTAGTTAATTGCATTGTGTCAGTGTCAATTTCCTAGTTTTAATAATGTTTTCCAGCTTTATAAGATGGGTGGTGGGATACCCAAGGAACTCTCTGTACTGTTTCTACAACCTCTCCTGAATCTATAAATATTTAAAGACAAAAACATTTTTAAAACTGTACATCCTTTATTCAACAAAGATTTATTTTAATACCCTGGAATACAGAGATATAAGACTCATGGAGGACTGGGAGTGTTGGAGGGAAATATCCAGGCAAACCAACAAGTGAGATAAATTCTGTGAAAGCAATATGCACAGGGCGTTATGAGGGTATGTAAGAAGAACAAACAGGTCAGAAAGGCGTCTTCAAAAAAGTGGAGCAGGTGGGGTAGAAAAAGAACAGAACCAGTTGAGGAACATAGCAGGGAGTCAAGACAGTGGTTTAGATGAGCCCTGGTAGGTTTCAGTAGTAGATGTTTTCCTTGCACACAGTACTTTTTATCTCGTAGCCCTGATGATTATTGTAATTAATTAAATGTCTTTATAAGGTAAACTCCATGAAGGCAAAAACCACTTTGGTATCTTGCTGGCTCTCTAATGCCTTACACAGTTCCTGTCTGGGCACCATAAATATTTGTGAATGAGGTCATTGGCTGTGACTGGAACGTGGAGTACGTACACGCGGGGAATGACAGGATATCTGGAGAGGAAGGCCAGAGATAGATACAGAGCGTGAAGGGGCTTACATGTTAAGTTTGAACTCTCCCTTAAAAGTAATGGGGAACTATCAGTGGAAGATGATGGTTTTTATGTTTCAGGAAGATAATATGAAGAGCAGTATAGAAGAAGCAAAATGTAACAATGTCCCAAAAGGTTAAAATGCCACCTTGAGTAGTTCGTGCCTTAGCAGGGGAAAACAAACTAGGCTGTTAGTAATTGCAGGTCCCACTCCAGGGATTCTGTGTCTAACAGCCTCTGAGTGTCCTAGGACTTTGTTTTGTAATAATAATAATAATAATAATAATAATAATAATAATAATATCAACAACAAAAGTAATGATTAACACTTGGTAAGCACTTGTTATGTGCCAAACACTTTATATATATGTTGTCAACTCATTTAATTTTTACAACTGTATGCCTTTGCTGCTCTTGGCCCCACAGATGAAGGATCTGAAGCACAGAGAGGTTAAGTAACTCACTCTAGATCACACAGTAATAAACTGGAATATTATTGCAATGGAATAGAATATTTTTCAGCCTTAAAAAAGAAGAAACAAGGGCGGGCCGAGTGGCTCAGTTGGTTAAGAGCTCGCTCAAGAGTTTGAGCTCTGAGCAACAGCGGTTCGATTCCCGGCCCGAACTGAGCTGCTACTGAGCTGCCAACAGGTGGCAGGATGGCTCAGCTAAAAAATAAAAATAAAGAAAAAAAAATAAAAGAAGAAACAAGCTACAATATGGATGAATCTTGAAGACACTAATGCTGAATGAAATAAGCTAGACACAAAAAGATATTATATGATTCCACTTACATGTGTTATATAGACTGGTCATATGTATAGGGACAAAGAAGTAGGACTGGTGGTTGTCAGGGGCTGATAGGAAGGAGGGATGGTCAGTGCTTATGTAATGGATGCAGAGTTTCTGTTTGGGATGATGAAAAAGTTCTTGCTGTGGATAGTGGTAATGATAGCACCATATTGTGAATGTCCTTAATGTCATTGAATTGTGCCCTCAAAATGAGAAATTTCATGTTATGTGTATTTTACAAAACAAAAAACAAAGTGTAAAGCAAAACAACAAAAAGAACACATTGGAAAGAGGCCTGACATCGTCACTTACTAGATCTATGACCTGTGGCAAATTCCCTAACCTACACAGGTCTCAGATTCTTCATCCGTAGAATCGGAAAAAAAATAATACCTACTTCCTAGGTTATTGTGAGGTTAAAATGAGATAACTTGGCAAAGCATTACTTTGTCTTAAGCTTCATTCTTCCTAGCTTCGAAGGGAAATAATCTAATTCTAAAAATCATGAAAGTCCTTATACCTTATGTAGCAAAATTGTTACTATCACAGCGGCAGAAAGAAAACATCCATTTTCAATAGTTGGCAGGATCATAAGACAGGTTATGTTTAATTTTGTAAGAAATCACCACACCGTACTCCAAAGCAGCTACACCATTTTGCATTCACACCATCAGTGGATGAGAGTTCCTGTTGCTCCACATCCTCCCTCGCCTTTAGCGGGGTCAGTGCCCCACAAGAGGTCAAGATTTGGGCCATTCCAATAGGTGTGTAGGGGTATCTCATTGTTTGAAATTGCATTTCCCTAATGACATAAGATGTGGAGCATCTTTTCATGTGTTTATTTGCAACCCATAATCTTTGGTGAGGTCTCTGTTAAGGTTTGGGGCCCCTTCTTTCGTTGGGGTATTTGTTTCCTTAATGTTGACTTTTAAGAGTTCTTTGTGTATTTTGGATGACAGTTTTTTTTACCAGGTATGTCTGTTGCAAATATTTTCTCCCAGTCTGTGGATGCTGTTTTCATTCATTTGATAGCGTCTTTCATAGAGTTTTTCATTTTAATGAAGTCCAGCTTATCAATTCTTTCTTACATGGATTGTGCCATTGGTGTTCTATCTACAAAGTCATCACCATACCCAAGATCGTCTAGGTTTTCTCTTGTGTTATCTTCTAGGCTTTTTATAGTTTTGCATTTTACACTTAGGTCTATGGTCCATTTTCAGTTAAATTTTTTGAAGAGTGTAGGGTCTGTGTCTAGATTCATTTTCTTTGCATGTGGGTGTCCAGCTGTTACAGGGCCATTTGTTGAAAAGACTATCTTTGCTTCATTTTATTGCCTGTGTTCCTTTGTCGAAGACTATATGTATGTGGGTCTATTTGTGAGCTCTCTATTCCGTTCCACTCATCTTTTTTGTCTATTCTTTTGCCAGTACCACATTGTCCTGATTACCGTAGCTTTCTTTATGGTAAATCTTGAAGTTGGGTAGTGTCAGTCCACTTAACTAATTTTAGATAAGCCTTCTCTTATGCAAACTGCTCTAGAGAACAGGAGAAATGTCAAGTTATCTAACTGATTATATGAGGCTAGAATGTCTTGAAACCAAGAAAAGACAATGTGAGAATTGAAAATTCTTTGATTCCAAAATTCTACATAAAATACCAGCAAATGGAATGCTGCAGTGTATATTAAAATATATCAAAACCAAACTGAATGTATGAAAAGGATACAGGGATTGTTTAATGAGAGAAAAATCTATTAAGAAATCTGCCTTATTAGTAAGGTGAAGATGGGGGGAAAATGTAATTATTTTAATAGATGCAGGAAAACCATTTGCTAAAACCCAACAGTCATTCAAAATTTTAAAACTTCTCTGCCAATTTGGAATTTAAATAAATCATTTTCAATAGGAAGAAAAACTGTAATTCTAAAGGACATTTATAAAGAAAATTATAAATTAGAACCTTGTATTTAATTAAGATTTATCCATGGAGACAAATGTGATTCTAAATCCTTCATTTGACTCCTGTGTAATATCTTGTAATCTATCTATACTATAATTTACTTACCCAGTCTCTTATTTCAGGAACATTTAGGTGGTTTTCAATTTTTTAATATTACAAGTAGTGCTATTGCAACAAACATTTTTAATAAATGTCTCCTTGTGTGTGTATTGAAGATTTACTTGTAGGGTATTTCTGGAAGTAGAATTGCTGGTTCACAGAGTATGACGCATTTTCAACTTTTCAAGAAACTGTCAACTTTCTCTCCAAAGTGATTTTACCAATTTACACTCTCACCAGCAGTGTATGCATATTTTTGTCACTCCGCTTCCTCCTTAACCCTTAGTGTTGTCAGAGTTGTGACGTTTTCTCCCTCCAATCTGATAGTTGTAAATGGCATCTCATTGCAAATTCCACAAAATGTAGGCGTCCTAGGAATTATAATGTTATTTTCTTCCCTGCTGTTTCCTTAGGGCTAGAATTGTGCTGGTTGCTTTGCAGGGATTCAAATATTTGTGGAGGGAATAAGGAAATGCAGGATCACTAGTGAGGCTGAGCATCCTTCATGGGTTTATTACTGACCAATATGTTAAAGATGAGGCTCAAGGTATGGAAAAATAGGCCATCATTATACTTGTATTTAAAATTTTAATCTGAAGTCAGTGTGTCAACTGAAAGCAAAGTAGAAATCATTCTGCTTTAATGAGAGACAGAGACTGTTATATTGTCAAAATGAGGGTGACGCTGACCCCCCTAGCACTAGAAAAGGCACTGGGCCTGAGACTCCAAAGACCTCAGCCCCACTCCCTTTCCAACTACAGTCTACCTTGGTTTGCGAGCATAATTCATTCTGGAAGCAAACTACTCATATTGCAAGACATCACTTGTTTACCAAGTTAAAATGTATTATTAGGTTGGTGCAAAAGTAATAGCAGGGCCAGATGAGTGGTGCGTTGGTTAAGAGCTGGCTTGGGACACCAGAGGGCCCCGGTTCAGATCCCACATATGAGGGCGAGTGACACTGCCCTCTACAGCTAAGATGCTGAACAACAGCTCGACCTGGAGCTGGGCTGCCGTGAGTCACTGGGGACGGTGTAGGCTGCAGCCCCTGCTGCAGTGGGTTGCCATGGGCTACCGTGTGTAGCCAGCAGCCAGCGTGAGCTGCCATCTAGAAGCCGGCGACTGAGCTGCCTCACCCGGGAAGAGTGCAATGATGGTGCCAACTTGGGCCAGTGAAGGAACGTCCTCCACAACTAGACTGAAGAACAAAACGATGGCAACTTGTCTGTTCCCCTTCCCCCAATTCCCCAATAAAAATCTAAAAAAAAAAAAAAAAAAGTTAATAGTAGTTTTTGCATTACGAGTAATGGCAAAAACTGCTATTACTTTTGCACCAACCAAATAAAAATGTTTGCTCGTCTTGCGGAACACTTGCAAACCAAGTCACTCGCAATCCAAGGTTTTACTGTAGTAGGATTGCAACTTCACACATATGGGCAGATTAATTAACCTCTCTGAATCTCAGGTGTCCTTATCTTAAAATAGAGATGATGATGATACCCATTTGGAATCCTGAGTGGAGAATGCACAGTTCACCAACTGGACTTAACAGCAAGATAGCAACCACCATCTAACCTCTGACACCCTACCTCACACAAAATGCCTCAGCTCAAAGGCCTTACATAAGAGGTCTAGTTGGAATCTATGGAACAGATGTCATCCTTGACATCTTTCAGCACTGCCTCAAACCCAAAAACCAGTTAGCAGGCATTTTGGGGACCTTCTCATTCCAGTCCTGCCTTCTGGTGATCTTCCTACCAACCCTCTCAATAATTATGCCACCTGGGAGCCCTATTTAGCTACAAATGAGGCACTGTACACTCAACCTCTTTATTGAACAGTTCCTGCACTGTGTTCCCTCCCAAGGACACCCCAGTACTGAGCTGCCTTCATAAGGAGGCTCTTCAATCTCCCACTCTCTATGCACTGCAAGGCCGAGACATGGCCACCAGCTTGTGGCAGATCCAAGTTTTATGGGGACTACTATAAAATTCGGGGGACTCTTTAAGAAAAATATTATAAAATTATGAATACAAATATCTTGGGATGTTTCTCTCTCACCTAGCTGGTCACTCTGCCACATTCTTTGAGGACATAGGAACCTATAATGACTACAATATGAAGGAGCGGGTGATTCATCCAAAATCCCAGCTTCACAGGTCTTTTCCTTCCTCAGTGCCAATGACCTCCACATCCATAGCACTTAAGCAAACCACTAGCATGGCCGGCCACCTGTTGGACCTTGTTATAACTTGCAACTGCTCCAACTATGAAATCCTAAACTTCAAATTTCCATTCAGACCACAACCCTGCTCCTCTAGCTCTTTACCTCTCATGTGGAAGTCCTCCATTAATTTTTCTCCACATGATCAACTCCTCTCTAACATTACTTACTTTCTCTTCCTGCTATCCTAGGCCACTAGCAAGGGTGAGGTAAGGTATCTGGGGGGCAAAATTTAAGGAGGCACTCGTGCGCAGGGTCATAACAAGTGCAGGATATACAATATGTGCCATGATGTATTATTACTTTATTTTGTCACCATCACACTGAACTTCTGAAACCCTTGACTTTTCTTTCCATAAGCCCTGCAAAACCACAGTCTTTGAGCCATCCAACCATCTCAGTGTTTGTCCAAACGACTGAACATGGCTGAGCAAGTGACATACCACTGCAGATGCGGGCCAATACAAATTACTGGTCTCCACCCCAATTCAGCCCCCAAATCTACCAGCAACCCTTTTGCATGTCTGTTGGTTACTGCTTCTTCCATTCCCGGCAGCAGTATGGCAGACATTGTTAGTTGTCTGCTCTGTTAATACCCATTCTCTTCCTTAGTCACAGCAACCCAGTTTCTTCCAAGTGACAATATGCCCAGCTAAAAGACAACTTCTTTCAGCCATGAGAAGCCAATGTGCTGAAACCTGAAGTTGGGTGGGTCTTCTAGAAAAACTCCTGAAGAGCAAAACTGAAGACAGAGAAGCAGCAATGTGCCCTTGGTGCTCCCCACACCCCCTTTTCCTCCTCCTCCTCCTGGTTTCTACTTGGAAAAGGTATCCTGAAACATGAGGCAATTTGAAGATAAAGGCCAGGGCTAAGGATGGTAGAGCGGAAAGAGAGGAGATTGGATTCTTCATGACAGCAAGGAGCTACCAGCCCAGCCCTGGATGGCTCACTTCCAGACTTCTTTATGTGAAAGAACAACTTTGATCAAGTTTCAGCCACTGCTATTGCTGGTCAAACACAATTTCTACCCACTAATGCTGTTGGTCATCCCAAATTCTCAATGCTCCCTACAAGTGTTATTCCTGCCTTAACTTTATTCATTGGGGGAAAAAATCGCTCATTAGATGCTAATGCGCTTAAATTCCTGCCTTTAGGCCTTCATTTCCCTCCAATCTTAAAGACTTTCTTCCGTCCAAGGCAAAACATTGCAACCAGGTGTAGCTACTCTCCTCCTCAGAATATCCTAATATTCCCTCTCTCCACTGTCTGCACCATCTCCCTGTCTCTCCATTTAGGAGATAAAAATACCAAAATATCTTGCCTTAAAAAAAAAAAAAGTACAAATACAGAGCAGTCTGTATTTGCCAACTTCACTTTCAAACTGCCCATCTATCACCCCACAGACGGCTTGCTGTGGCTTTCTGTCCACCACCTTCCCCAACCAGTGGCATCCTAATTGCCAAAGCTGCCTCTTCCCTGATGTTTCTCCTGGTAGCATGAAGCAAGCTCGAGCACCTCCTGTGTGAATCTTCCTCCTCTCAACAGGAGGCGGCCAGGAGCTCAGAGAAGCAGCGATAACCTGCCCTAATTCAACACACTTAAGTGGAGGGGAGAGTCGGAAGAGCGAGGGGAACAGGGGACTTGCCAGCCCTCTGGAAGAGCCATCAACAGGGCGTCTCCGCGCACGAGTTCCAGAAGGGAGGATTAAGGCTGCACCCAGGGCGTGACGCACACCACTGCTCCACACCTCGGGGTCCAAGCCCGGGTGGGCTTCTTCACTTGCTTTCTGGAGGTGCCCCAGGCCCGGGCCTAGAACAGGACGCATGCGCGGGCGAATGGTGGGGGCGGTGCCTGCTCCATGCGCAGCACGTGGCCGACCCGTGGCGCATATAAAGGCGGCGCCAGCGCCAAGGCCGCTATAGACGCTCCGGGTTGTAGACGTGTCTCTGGAAGTGTGCCGTGTGCCACCACAAAGGGTCCCAGTCTCAGACTTCGAGCTAGAGCAGGTTCGTGTGCCGCATTCAGAGCAGGGGTCTTGCGGGGTGGCGGGTGGGCTGGAGCTCAATGGCTTGCAGGGGAGGTGGGGCGGGGGGAGGCGAGGCGCCCCTGAGCCGAGGGGATGGACCCCTGGATTGAGGAGAGCCTCGGCCTGGGGAGGGTGCTGGCTCGACATGCTGGCGGGGCAGAGGACAAGGACGGTGTAGGCCCTGCCTAAGCCACCGCCTTCAAGTGCAGCCCCTGGGAGCACCCCCTGGCATTTGAGGCCCGGCGCTGAATTGCTCCTGCGCTTCCAAGGCCTCACTCTCCCAAGGCGCTGCCGCACCCAAAGCCTGGACTTGCTTGAAAGGAGGTGGGCCCGGCCTTTGGGCACCAGTCCCCAGGCCCTAAGCGCAGTGCAGCCTCTGTCGCTAATGCTGGGTGAGTGAGTCCCTGATGCCGGGGGAGCAGGAAGAGAAGGTAAGGAAGCTGACACCCAGGCTTGGAGTTCTGAAGGGGCGAGCATGACTTCTCTCCTGTCACAGCATTTACAAGGCTGAGTGTGGCGGGCCTTTCCGAAATGTGAACATCTGTTTTTCAGCCTAGAAAATGAACCCTTCAGAGAACAGTTTTGACAGCAACAGTGCCAGACCGTTTATCGTGCACAGCATGGCCCAGCAGCCTTACCCAAGTTTCTGGTACCAGAATCCTGCCTATAATCCAGTCTTCGTTCCCGCGGCAGGTAAGGTGTCTGCAAAGAGGTTCAGTGGGGTTCGGGGCCCTCCCTATAAACCCAGTGCCTGAAGGTTTTCTGATACTTCTCCGTTACCCCCCTTTCCTCATCCTGTCCCCACACAAAGGGGATTGTGGCAGCTCAGAAGGGCAGTGTGTCAAGTGCACATTAAGTGGAAGAATTTGAATCTAGCTATGTGCCAGGTACTCTGCTAAATACTAGGAGTGATTCTCTCCTGCCTCTCAGCCCCATGAGCTGTCCGTGTTTCACAAATAAGAGAACTGCCGCTCAGAAGGCAGTGACTTGCTGAGGGTCACACAAAAGTCAAGCCAGAGTCTCCTTATGTTCTGAGACCAGCCTGGTTGGAAGAGGCACCTCAGAGCTCCTTGTTTCCATAATTGTGTCAACAAAGCCTATAGATTGGAAAGCTGTTAAGCTGAAGTCAAAAACGTACTCTGGGGGACGAATGACAAGTCGTGAAAATGTTTAGGAGGTAGCTGTGTAGGATTTCATTCAGTACAGTGGATTTATGGGAAGGGGGTTTAGGCAGGGCGTTAGGCTTCAAGGGGTGAGTCTCCCTTCTCATACCTCCCATAGTAAAGATAATGTTAAACTTTTTTGTGTCCCCTGCTGTGGATAAAGCATGTTGTGTATATTATGCATCTGTTTTCTTTTTTTCTTTTTTTTTAAGATTTTTATTGGGGAATTGGGATGGGAACAGCGCTGGGGAATTGGGGGAAGGGGAACAGACAAGTTGCTGTCGTTTTGTTCTTCAGTCTAGTTGTGGAGGACGTCGCTTCACTG